AGCTGGTTGATGAGCTAATTAATTCTTGTGGTGGCGGAAGAAACCAGAGCTCTGGGAGAAAGGACAGGAAGAGCAAAATAATCAAGTCAATCAAATCAAGTCAAGTAAGCAAATAATCACGCCGTAATGTTCTTCTGAGAAATCTCAGCTCTTGTGTTCAGGTGGATGCTACACATCTAGACCCTCCTTCCATCCCTGAATTGCCACAGTGCAAACCAGTGAGAGTGGACGCCATGCAGGACAGAAAGAGTCCAGGAGCGCTGGAGAAGAAGCGCAAAGCAACTAAAGTGCCAGCTCTCCAAAATCCCCCCCACTGGAACCTATTCTTCCACAAACTACACCTAAAACATCCATCCATCTATCCACTTAACTGCTTGTCCAGCTCAGGCTTGCAGGGTAAGCTGCAGCTTATTCCAGCAATAGGCCCTCAAACTGGAGTGTCAAACTTAATTTGCTTCCTTTTATATTCCCAAATGGGCCAGTAAAACCACTACATACGGTAATGACATATACTGAAGAAAGATTATTCCCCTTTTTTAGTGTATATAGAAGTAGATTTTAAAAAAATCTTCCATTTAATAAACCTTTTATCAAACAGAAAAAACAGACTTCTTAAGAAAAGTCAGTCAGTGTCTCAACAAACATGCATAAAATATGGATGAATGGTTAATAAAAACACTGGCTTTTGTCTTTCTGTAAGAAATAAACATTTAAGGACTCAGAAGAAAAGTCCTCCACCCTTTAGACTCATAACTTTTATCTTGTCTGGATGTCTGGAGGCATCATATTGTATTGTCAGGTATGGCTTGTGCATGAACTCTGATAGGCTGAGAGCCCAAACATCTCTGCATTAGCTGCATATTCATCCCAGAAGGAGAAGGAAGGAGGCCCACTTCCCCCCACTGACAACGCCCCGTAGCACCACCGAGCCCGAGGCAGCACCCACATTTCCCCTCACTAAAACACTTTTTTGTACAGTGATGCATGAAGAGCAGAACTTCCAGACAGCACAGCTGCCGTTTCCTAAACAGAGCAAAAGCTAAACAATACTGACAACAGTTGACGTGGTGAAAGTGAGATGGTGAGATCAACGATGCTGGAAACAATGTGAAAGGGAAAGAAGGAAGTTCTGGAAGTTCAGAGGAAATTTCAGCTGCTATGTTTTTGTTTATAGAACAAATCCACAGGAAACCTCATACCCCATGTAAGACTTACATACAAAGAAAACACAAGGCTCTGTTTTTTCCTCCATTTTGATGGAGCTGATCTGAGGTGACTCTGGGCCTGGAGGTTGGAGACCCCTGTGTTAACCTAACAAACACGGCTTTGGATGCTATACAAAAAAACCAAACACGCCCAGCATGTGTTCAACTGCTTATTAATGCAAATAAACATGCTAATGTGTGTAGACATGGTCAACACAACCTGTATATATCTATACCTATTAAAGTGGCCAGTGAGTTTATATACACACTATAAACCTGTATATACACCCAATGATGTATCAGCAAAAAAGCAATGATGTGATGTCACAGGGCTTTACTTCCTGTATATGACCCATTGGCAGAAACACATAGTTTACAAACATGTAGATGATTATCAGACAAGGATCCTATATCATCACAAGTTTATAAACATTCATGGCAGTAAATGTAAAGCAATGACAACAAAAATGATCAAATAAGAGTATTGTTGTTGTTATTATTGGCATCATCATCCTCAATAATAATAATAACAACAACTAGAAAGAAAGCTTTCAAGTGCATCACAAAAACAAGATGTTATCAGAAAACTGAATGTACTTGCTGACAGATGTTTAGTTCAGATTCTTTTGTCAGCAATTGTGATTTGGACAGACCCCTGCTGTCATTTCACAGTTACTGGGATCTTTCTATTTTTAGAAGCGTCACCAATTCCCGTAATAAGCTTTAAAAGGTTAAAAGAGTTCATTTGCGGTACCCTGTGCAACAACAGTCGATACATAGTCACCCAATCACCACCTAGACTCAGCTCAGCTCATGAAACCATATATGGCTTAAGATTGGCTCTGGCGTTTCTATTGTTCTGTCAAGAAAAAAAAAAGAGTGTGTGAGTAGCACACGAGAGCTGGCTGCGACACAAACACAAAAACACAACACTGTAAATCACCCTGGGTGAGAACGAGCCAGGCAGTGGGTCCAACGTGTAAAACCGCAAAACAGGAGGGCAACTGCAATAAGAGGGAACAGAGAGTTTAAAGAGTCTGAAAGAATAAAGTCGTCTTACTGAAAAGCAATTTCTGTTTTTGAGTTGGTGTACAGGGGTGTAGCTCTGCTGCCATTTACGGGAAATTCCCAGCTAATGTAATATCTGGCAAGAAGCCATAAAACATGACTTTGCAGGTGCACCATCTGAAAGTTTTGAGCCAATACTTTGACGTTTGCAACCACCCAGACTCTTATTAAGAATAGGATCCATGCTGACATCTTGGCAGCATAGCTTATACTGCGCTGCAAAGCTTCACAGTTAAATCACCATATTACTCAGATTACTCAGATTGCGCCGGGCTATTTGCTTTTCATTGTGTGAAACAGATTACACCACATGTTTCACTTGTATTCTTAGATATAACCTGCTGGCTCAGATTCAGAACAGCTACAATAACAACAGCAGGGCTTGTTGTGGGTAGTTGATACACCTTAATTGTCGCAGTGTTTCCTAGAGCCCGAGACACTAGGAGAATTTCCCCAGAGGCCTCCACCTTTCAATCAGCCACACCTCAAAGGTGCACTGCTACAACCCCCATGCCCAATCAGTCTGCACAGTATGAGCACAGCTCCCCAAACAGCCTTAAAAGATTAACAGTTTCAATTCTTGCAGATCACCAAATAATCATACGTCACATTACTTCAGAGATGTCCTAGAGGAGCCTTAACAGTGGAATTCAGTGGGGAAATTAATGAGGAGAAACTGTTGGTCTAGATACATAAAGGAGTCTGCAAACAAGTACATTTTCCAGTCTAGTTATCACAATAACATATCTCACTGGGATTTCCCCACATGCATTATTTGCTTTATCACACACGGACACAAGAAAGTGCACTTATTATGAAATCATAAACCTCAGACTGGACTTCTCAGAACTCATGTATATTTTGATAAATCACATGACCCTTGTTGTGATACCAACCATAGATACGGTTTCCAGGAAGAGCATAAACACAGAATAGTCATGTCTGGTTTCAGAAACCATTTTCATGTTGTGGTGAATATTAATATGTCAACATGGCAAAAGTTTTAAACCAGACACTGCTCAGGTGCTCTTGAGCGACAGTTCTCCAGGATATCTGAAGCTTATCTTTGGCTGTGGGCTGCTTTTTCACCCATTTTCAGTCCATGAAGGAATGTTTTTCTGCTTATTAAGCATCTTGACACTGACCTAGCGATGCGTCTATACATAACAAACATTTGAGCAAAGAACCCATTTTAAACTTGGACTGGTGTAAAATTACATTTTTGCACCAACAGGTTGCTTCCCAAAGAGATGTTAGCTGGAAAATGTAAAGGAAGTGAACACATGGGGTACAAAAGAAGTGGAAAAATAAAAACACTGTGAAAGTCATGATGATTTTTGAGCCTCTGGGGCAGATAAAAAGAAGCACAACCCCTTTGATGTTTCACACAATGTGAATCCAGAGTTAGTCCTTTATCCTGTCAGTGCTGATGGCAGACTTCACATGACACTTCCAGAGGTAATAATCTGGTAACTATATTGATTTTAATGTTGTGACTGACTAGTTTAAATAATGCTTGAGCCCTGGGATAATTTGTAAATCTGTAAAGCATGCAGTATGGATTACCTAAGTACAGTTTATTTACCTTTTTTACACCCAGTCAGTAACAAATAAAGTCAGAGAACAAGACTCAACCTTTGTATTTGAATGTCTGCAGAGGCACAAGAGCAGTGTCGGGTTACAGTGGAGTTAGTGCCTGAGCTCCTCCAGACTGCTTTAACACAAAGGACCTGCTGCTCACGCCACCTCAGCTGCCCACCTCCGCCAGCCTTCACTGGATGCTAAAGTGTCACCAGATATGATGTAAAAAAAAAAAAAAAAAGAAAGAAACAAAGCAAAGAAACAAAATCAACTCAGGTTTTTAATCAGCAGTTTTTAATCCATTTTCAGCATAATAGGGGAACATAAAGCAAAAAAACAGAGCAAGAAGGATAATCTGGGACAAAAACACTCACAGTGACTGGCCATGCAGGTACAGAGTACACATTACAGGAGGAATCCTTTAAATTAATGACATATACGTTATATAATAAGAAAACAGTACAAATAAGTAAGCAAAAATAAAGAAACATCCACATGAGAAAAATATTTGCAGTATTTAGATAATAAGGTATTTATAGTGTTGTATGCATATATACTATGTGCTGTAATGCTATAGGACACTGAAAGTGCACGCCCTGGTGCTGCATTA